CATTCTTGTAGAGACGAGAAGTCTATCGCTCGTTCGCGACGACCGTAAATCACGTTTCTTTCGATATACACTTATTTTTTCTTTTTATTAGCGATAATATTTGTTATTAATAACGATGTTCCTATGTATACATATCACGTATCCTTTCTACGAACAATCTCGTTGGTTTCGGTCGATCAAAAGAAAAAATACGATTGATAAACTTGTGTTTATTAAACTCGGTAAACGATATTACAAATGAGTTTAAAAAGTCTGCTAGCTATAATATAACACACCGAGTACGTTAGAGTTTTATCGGTCAGTATCATCGCCTTATTGTCTCATTAAGAGATCCAATCTGCATTATCGTAAACCGAGATTGCTTTTCGCAGCTTGATTACTTTCATGATAAATATCATCAAACGGACTGGATATATTCATCAACGAAAATATTTATCATATCAATTCGAATTGCGTTATCTTACGTATAGAAATGTCCAAAGTAATTAATTAACGAGTTCTGCTTTTTATTTTTCTCTTTCAGCGTTATTTAAATTTAAATATAATCGAATAATAAATTCTTCGAAGATTCGCATTAAAAATATTAGGATGAACCAAAAGTAGGCGCGGTTTTGTTTATTAACATTTCCAAAATAAATGTTACAAAAAATAATCCATTATGCAATTCCATAGTAAAGTTTCAATACAATAAACGTACGAATTTTTGATTAACCCTAATAGTAAACAATAATCGAGAGAATTTATTATTTATATATCTTTAGATCGTAGGACGATATTATAAATTTACTCTTCAAATCCTGTAAATAATACTTACGATTAAAGAAGAAATACGTATATATACGTATATTACAATATTTAGTAGAAAAAAAAATTATTACAAAAAAAGATAAGAAAAAGAAAGCAGCAAATTGTATTTCCACGAGTGAGGAAGGTAAACAACAAATGGTTTTTCTCGAATGCGTTATCTCGACGTATCGTATCCCGTTTGGCTATCACGTGACTCAAGAATACAAGACGGACTTGACCTTTCTATGGGCGTTATGAATGCGTGCGTGGAATTTATCAATGGATGACCACGCCAATGATAAATCGCGTATGCACTCAGTATCGTCGTGGTCAGGGGCCTTCTTGGCTGACTGTTCGTAGGTGAAAGAGCTGAGAATAAAAGGAAATAAGAGAGTCAGGAAAGAGGAAGCTAAGAGAGTAGACGTCTTCCTTCGACAAGCTCCTGCCGGTAACGCCTTCCAATATCTTTCATCGACTGACAAATCAGCTACCAGCTTTAACCACGTTGGATGAAGTGTTCAGTAATTTTTATGCTTCTACCTATTACAGATGGTGAGAGAATGTTTACCAAGAGATTCAATCATCCAGATATGATATACATACATATACATCTTCCGTTCAAAATTGAAAATTTATATCGAAATTATAGGGTTACTCGATTCATAAATAAAAACATTTTTACTTCGATACATGATACTGCGATTATATATACTATATATATATATATATATTTATTATATATTATATTATTTATATATTTTTCTTGCTATATTTGTTGTAAAGAACTTCTTACTTATAACTGCACTCTTATTTATGATTTATCCCAATATATATATTTATCGATGCTTTCATTCTCTGTCAACACTTTTTAAACAAGCGTAACGAAGTTCCAAAGCTATTTCATATTATTCTTTACCCAAACCCGTGAAAACGAATTTGTTTCACTACCTGCTCTAAGAAATTCCTTCTATAATCTCTTTTCAAAGCCGAAAATACCAAGTAAAGCCCGCATCTCGACAAGTTTTGAGAACCCTTTTCTTTTGGATTCAATAAAACGTAAAAGAATATCATAAATGGAGCGAGTTATATTCGTTCGCGTTCGTTGTACTGCGTTCGCGTCCTTGTTCTCTTGCGTTGGGACAAGAATTTCCTCCCACAAGGAGTCCAAGAGTGCGTGGGGCCCACAACTGGTATGGCGATTATAAAAATTCCGAGAGACAACCGGGTCACGACTCGGTCGATCGTCTTCTTTCTTGTATCTTCTTCGTTTAAATCTCAAATGAATAATGAACAAAAATGATCTAATTAATAAATTCAAAATCTCTATCTAACTGTTGAACCTAAAATTTCACTTTTCTCCAATATTCAATATAGATATGTTATTTACTCACTAAGCAAACGCCACCTAAATGTGAAACTTACAATACTCTAAACAGCATCGAATATATTCTATTCTACTGCACTAAATAAACTAGCAATGGTAATCAAAACCGAATTAAAGAAGACCTACGCAGTAATTTGAATGAAAGTAACACACAACATCCAAAACGTATTACTCTTTTTTAAAGAAATAAATTTACTTTGAAATTTTTGTAAAACGAATAACTGTGTATTGTTTAATCATCGGATAATCATACTGTTAAAACTTGTATAATGAAAATGGTCGCGAATGACTTCATTGTTAATGCGACTACTTAAAAATAAACTTTTACCAAAAAAAGAAAACAAAAAAATATAGATACGTGATTTTTAATTTTACCACGACAATATTTCTAACACACAAAATAATTATTTCTAAATGAAAATATGAAAAATTTGTTATCACCTCTATCGTGCCGATTTAATATAAAACCTTTAAATAAATTGAATGAATGCGCGAACAGAAGTTCAGGATTCAGCATTTTCTAAATGGCTACGAGAATCTTTTCGTTAATTTAATACGTAACGCGTAGAACGTAAACGGAAGATCGTTTATAACGTGGGAAACTATTTTTCCAGTCTCAGCGCGAGACACCATCACATGGCACGCGTACAAATTACGAATGATTACCAACTATCCCGTCTTCGTAAACGCGAGAACGCAACCCTTAGAGAATTCCTAATCTATTCTTTGCATCTCCATTCGCCGAATCATTTTTCTCTCCGACTTATGTAGAATATCCATTCGTCCTAAATCAAACAATTGAATATACCAGCCTTCGAGAGAGAAATAACAAAAAGTTACGACCGACCTGACCGTTAATTTCATAAATTCCATTCAAAGAAGAGAGCACGAAAATTATTAAGACGATCTAAAAACATGGAAGAACTATAATGATTATAAACTATACCGCATGAATAATGCGTTCATGCTCGGTGTAGTTTATACGTCGATTATATCTACCAAATGGTATAGAAAAACAAAGTCATCAAATAGAGAAAATATATATTATTAACCTCCTCTTGAAAAGATGAAAATAATCTATTGCTAAATAAAGAGAGAGAGAGAGAGAGAGAAAGAGTACGTGTAATAAAGATAAAGAAGAGAAGAAAGAAGGGCAATGGCGTCCGTCGCCTGCCACAAATTTTAAGCCTGCCGTTGCAGTTTCTTTATTCCTGTAGACTTCAACAAGGATGACAATTTAAGAGACTAAAACAACATACAAATACAATCTAAAATAAATAATGATCCGTAATAATAAATTGCATAAAAAAAATTGCGTCGAAAAGAATTTGATCAAACAAATCTGATAATCAAAATGATAAAATTGTTAGAATCGATTTTTTGTGTGTGATGGTACTACATAAGACCAAACGTAATGATAAAAATTTTCTAAAAAGACAATTTCGCGTTTCTGTATATACAAGCTTAAATACTATAAGCGACGAGTGCCTGACGAGCATAATCATCGTTGCATTTCAGAGTAAAGGTGGGCCGCGTTTGTTCGCACGCGCCACTTGTCCAACGTGTCACATAACTTGGGGTAAGTTTACAACGTTTTACAACCGAATTACAGACGAAAAAAGAAAGATCATTCTCCCTCATCTCTATTTCTTTCTCTCTTTCTCTCACGCACACACATACACACAGCACACTTTCCGTTTCCCGTAAAACGTATCTTTCATCGTGAATTAGATTTTCAAGCAACGACAACGAGAAGGATGCACACGTTTGAAATTCCTTTTTCCCTTTCTTCTATTTCTTCTTTCTCTTTCTCTCCTTCGTTTTATTTTCAATAACTTCCCATCTATTTATTCTCCTCCATCATGAAACTTCGCGACTCGCTAACGCGAAGTGCCGACGCTCGATGAAAGACAAGAAAACAATTTGAATTACAAGTTCATTAATTAACGCAACAGTAACATTAATTAACGCTTTTAATTAAAAGCAATCAAAATCAATGGTGTTCATGATTTATTCGTAAGCCTTTAAATATTTTCAAATATTTATATACACTTTTTGTATAATTGAATTATTTCTCTTCTTACAAAATTAATAAAATTTTTAATCGAAAAAACTAAGTTAAGTAAGATAGAAATTTAGTAATGCTTAAATGTCGATTCAGTTGACGTTACCACGTCAAAGTTAAATAGCCTTATTTTCTTCGAGTGAAATCAACGACACGATCAATTTAAAACGCGTCATGCGTATCGGCCACGAGAGAAGAAGAAAACAACGCTTCGAACCATCTAATTATTGTCACGTCATTCGCGTTGAGAATTACCAGTTTACTGGTGCTAGGTTCTCGCCTCGAAAACTACAATCTCGTCGTTTTCAGTCGCGTGACATGTTCTGGAGAAACGTATACGCGGAGGATAAAGAAAAAGAGAGAAAGAAAGATAGACCTTAATTAACTCGATAGAGACGTTAGGAACATCTGACTGAACGATAAAATAAACTTAACACTGACAATTATTTCTACTTGCTAAATGTAACGTTAAATATATTTTTACAGAGTTTGAAAAGAAATATTACGTAAAAAGATATTAATTCGATTTGAAAACGATACCTGGAAGAAGAAACTCATAATATTAGGATAAACCAAAATTGCGTTTATTGTGTTAAAACTTTACTTTGAAATTGCATAATGGATTGGTTTTTTCGTCAAATTTACTTTGGAGATGTTAATATACAAAACGCACGAACTTTTGGTTCACCCTAATACATAATCTTTGATCGAATTGAACGTATTAATTGGATAGTTAATGAATGATAAAGAAAGATAAAATCTTACGAATGATGCGGAGGTACGTGGAAAGCTGCAGCTGCGGCGGCTGCGGCTGCAGCGGCCGCATGGTGTTCCCATGCAGCAGCCGCTGCGGCTGGATGCGGAGCTGGTGGTGGTGGTCCGTGATGCGGAAGAAACGGTGGTAAAGGTGGCGGATGCGGATGGGGGTGAAAAGCCGCGTGAAATGCCGAATGAGGATGATGCGGTGGGGGTGGCGGTGGTAGCAATGAAAAAGCTTCTTGATGATAGGCCACTTCTTTCTCTGGCATTTTGTCGTCCGCTGCAGCTACCGCTGCTGCTGCTGCTGCTACTGCAGATGAAGCTGCTGCTACTGCAGATGAAGCTGCTGCTACTGCAGATGAAGCTGCTGTTACTGCTGTCAAGGCAAAATGATGTAGAAGAAATTTGTTCCCTTTGTTGTCCAGGATCAAGATAAATCTTGATCAGTGGCACCGCGTGTGCCAGGTTGACAGTACCGATCGATCATAGCCCAATCTTTCATAAAATTCTTTTTAGATGATAAAAATATAATAGGACGAGAAGTTTTTATATGTACATCCCTAGGATCGTTTCCCGTCGGTAAACTCTCGACTAATTCTTTCAATTAACATTTGAGAATATAACGTAGAGAGATACGTGTGTCCTTTTAATTATAATCCTGGATCCAATGAAATAATACGATTTATTTTCCTGACGCTTATTTAATCTTTACACTCCACGAATAACGATCGACAAACACTGCACTGTTTACTCTCACTGTCACTAAATTAATAAACCAGTCAAACTGAACGAATCTTTTAAAAGTTCATCCACTAATCGGTTGTACCGTTCATATTCTTACGTCACATTTAACCGTATTAATTAAAATTGATATCACGTTTTGTCACCTTTCCATTGGACGAATAAAAATCTCGATGGTTAGCTTTAAATCCGTGTAAACGTAAACACTTTTGTAGTTACCCATCACCGTGATTATCGTCAAGTTCGAAGACAAATCTTCTGATATTTGTGATATTTTTTTTAACACGTTGGACCGATCATCGTACAATTAAAAGGACACGTGTCGTAGAATAGTTTTCCGTCGAACTATGAAAGACGAACTTGTATAAGGCCTGTC